TGTTTAGCAGTTTGAGGAACCTCCAAACAGTTTTCCATAGTGGTTGTACTAGTTTGCATTCCCACCAGCAGTGCAGGAGAGTTCCTTTTTCTAGTAAGGTTTCTTAATAAGAGTAAGACAAGGTGAGGAGAAGGATTGGACTGGAAGGATCAACTTTGTGTAATGAAAACTCCTGAGATTTAGAACCTAACCAGAAGATTAGAGGTGGAAAAAAGAGAGGCATTAAAACTAATTCTGGAAAGTCAAATCTGAGAATTGATACCATTAGAAAAGTCAATACTGTCAAGTAGTACAGCTGGTGTGTGGGGGAGGGTGAGCTCAACCTTGCTAGCAGTACATGAATGTACAGATGGCTCCCAGGGCAAAGCTGGAAATGTGAGCTTGAAACTCAGGCTATGACTTGAAATATGGACTTGGGACTCATTAGCATAAAGGAAGTAGTGGAAGGTGGAGGAGTGAATATGAATGCCTGGGGACATTACAGAAGAGAAGGTGGCCAAGAACAGGGCACTAGGGTAAGTGGTCCACTTTTAGATAAGTGAATATGAGCTAGAATTAAAATAACAAGGTCATGGAAGAGGCAGGAAGACTTAATATCACAAAAGACTAGAAAAGAGAGAGCTTCAAGGAAGGTGGAGTTGGTAATGTCCATGGAAACAGAAGAAAAGAAGGTAAGAACTGAAAGGAGAAAATGAAATATAGTAGTTAATAGAGTTAAGAGTTAATGATGACTCTTAGAATAGTGTCTTAAGATTATGAATTGCTGAAATAGGTTCTGACTTATGAGTCTAGAGTTTTTTGATTGGGGCATTAAGTGTGCTATATTTTTCTATTTCTTTAATATAATGTAGGTGAGAGAGAAAAAGGGAGGATGGAGGAAGAAGTCATGTGACAAGAGGACTGTTTTATTTAAGTGATAAAATTATTTAAATAAAATAGATCTTGAGTTCACATTTAATCAATAACAGAAACACTAAAAATGGAAAAAGGAAATCTCCAGAATTTTACTTTAGTCAATAAACAAAACTGTATCCAAATTATTTCTATTAATAAGATATCCTTTTGCCTGAAACAACAACAAATATCTAAACAACTGTTGAGATAATGAATAGACCACAAGATCATTTGGGTCATCATGTTTTTCCCTTCTTTTCAGGAAAAAAGACAGAGCTATGATAGCCACTGGTGGAGTGATAACTGGCCTGGCTGCCTTGAAAAGGCAGGACTCTGCCAGGTCACAACATCATGTCAACCTCAGCCCATCGCCTGCTGCCCAGGAGAAGAAACCAGCCAGGAGAAGACCTAGGGCAGATGTGGTGGTTGTTCGAGGCAAAATTAGGCTTTATTCTCCATCGGGTTTTTTCCTCATTTTAGGAGTGCTTATCTCCATTGTAGGAATCGCAATGGCAGTCCTTGGCTACTGGCCCCAAAAAGAACATTTTATTAATGCTGAAACGACATTGTCAACGAACGAAACCCAGGTAATTCGGAACCAAGGTGGTGTGGTGGTTCGCTTCTTTGAGCAACATTTACATTCTGACAAAATGAAAATGCTTGGCCCTTTCACAATGGGGATTGGCATTTTCATTTTCATTTGTGCAAATGCCATCCTCCATGAGAACCGTGACAGGGAAACCAAAATCATACACATGAGGGATATCTATTCAACGGTCATTGACATCCATACACTAAGAGTCACGGAGCAAAAGCATATGAATGGCATCTACACAGGTTTGATGGGAGAAGCAGAAATAAAACAGAATGGGAGCTCCTGTGCCTCAAAACTGGCAGCAAACACCATTGCCTCCCTCTCGGGATTCAGGAGCAGTTTTCGGATGGACAGCTCTGTTGAGGAAGATGAGCTTGTTTTAAATGAAAATAAGAGCTTGGGCCATCTTATGCCCCCTTTGCTCTCTGACAGCTCTGTCTCTGTCTTTGGCCTCTATCCACCTCCTTCCAAGACAACTGATGATAAGACCAGCGGCCCTAAGAAATGTGAAACCAAGTCAATTGTGTCGTCATCCATCAGTGCTTTTACATTGCCTGTGATCAAGCTCAATAACTGTGTCATTGATGAGCCCAGTATAGATAACATCACTGAGGATGCCGATAACCTCAAAAGTCGGTCAAGGAATTTGTCAATGGATTCTCTTGTGGTCCCTTTGCACAACACCACTGAATCCTTCCATCCAGTCAGCACAGTCCTCCCACGGAATAATTCCATTGGGGAGTCACTGTCTGATCAGTACAAGTCGTCAGTGGCCCTTGGGCCTGGGACTGGTCAGCTCTTGTCTCCTGGAGCTGCTAGAAGACAGTTTGGGTCCAACACATCCTTGCATTTTCTCTCTTCACATTCAAAATCTTTAGACTTAGAGCGGGGTCCCTCTACCCTAACTGTTCAGGCAGAACAGCGGAAGCATCCAAGTTGGCCTCGGTTGGATAGAAGCAACAGCAAAGGATACATGAAACTGGAGAACAAAGAGGACCCGATGGAGAGGTTGCTTGTGCCCCAAGCTGCAATGAAAAAAGACTTCACCAACAAGGAAAAGCTTCTCATGATTTCGAGGTCTCACAATAACTTGAGTTTTGAACATGATGAATTTTTGAGTAACAACCTAAAGCGGGGAACTTCTGAGACAAGGTTTTAATGTTAAAAAAAAAAAAGTTATTTTACAAGACTACACATTTTAAAGCTCTTTTCATCATTGTTTCTTTGTTAAGGCATTGGTCGGCAACCTTTTTTATCAAATGGTTTGTAGTGTATTAGAACTGGCTGCTTAATTCTGTAATAGAGATGGTTGAATGTTTGGGTTCCTTATGATTGCAGTTCTCTATATTACCATATGTAATTTTTTACCCTGTTAGTTTGAACGTATGATCTCATTTATTAACATGAATACAAATTACTTCCATTTGAATTAAAGCTCCTTTCTTTCATTGATGGTCAGGTTCACGAAATGAAATGTGCAATTTGGAAAAGGCAGATTAGAACTACCAAATTCAGATCCAAGACTCACCACATATTTATCAGTGTGTGTAAGTGCAAATCTTAGATATCATCTCCTGAATAATTGCTTTTATAAAGGATTGGTTCCATTATTTAAAAGGGAAAAAGACCTAGCTTTTGTGTAAGCTAAACAATGTGAACTGGTTAAATTAGTTTAGTTCTGTGAGGGCTGTTTAAATATGAATTGGATTGAGTTGGTTGTGCTTCCTATGTTGAGCTCTAGGTAGGTAGCATTTTTTCATCATTCTATTTCTATGACATTTTTTTTTTTACCGAGAAACCACATATTCAAGCGTTATGAATGAGAATATCAGATATTCCTAGTGATAAATATCAAAATGCTATTTGCTTTAGCTTTAGATATTCAGAATTGAAATTTTTTTGCAAGTGGCTAAAAACACTTGCAAACGCTGTCTTGAAATAATTGTATACATGAGGAACTTACAGACTTGTGGATAAAGAAAACATTATATGCTAGCTAATGCTAACTAGTTTCTGTACCCTTTCCTGTTCATCTCTGTTCTCATCCAATATCCCCTCATTCCAACATCTTTATTTTCCCCCAATACTTTTTAAGATCATATTATTTGGAAAATAATCAGTTGACTTTATTTTTTTTTTTAATCTTTACATACCGTTGACTTGCTGATTCAAGAAAATTTAGTCCTTATAAATTGCCTTGAAATTTATTTCTGTGTTGGAAAGCCTTATGATAACTCCAAAGACTTTCATATGGTGTAATCAATTTTTAGGATTGTGATTCTCAGTTATTGAAAATAATAAATATTAAAATGAAATTTTACATCAGAAAAGTCTCATGTTTTCCTTTAAGGTAATAAATTTAAGAATTAATTAATGGGATACTCAGGAAATTTTTCAGGTTTTGCCCAACACCTAAGCATTCCTGAACATCAGTATTGCAGTAGTTGTGGAAAAAGAGAAGGAAAATATTTTGCATTTGTAGGGCCTCACAATTCTACCTTATAGCATCATCATCATCATCACCTTCCCTGAAATGAAGCACATGTTACTTATTAGAACATCAAACCTGTGTATTATAATAGAGTGGGCTCGACATTTTACTATAAAGAATTTAGTAAACTGTTCTTAATAGAAGTTTGTGTTCATGCATTTGTCATTGTTTTTGAATAAAATGTAGACTTCTGCTTAAAATACTGTTTTTCAAAATTTCAGATACATTCTACTGAAAATTCTAGTAGTGAGTGCTGTATCTTCTTTATTTTGCTTCTATTAGGTTAGAGAACTAGGTCCACCCTCTTATGAGTTTCATATCTTGTTATCTAGCATGATAGCTAATTCTGTGTGTCAACTTGACTGAGCTAAGGGATGCTTTCATTTCTGGGTGCATTTTTAAGTGTGTCTCCAAAAGAGATTAGCAACTGAATCAGTAACCTGAGTAAAGATTGTCCTCACTGATGCAGGTGGACATCATCCAATATGTTGAGGGTTTGATTAGAACAAAAGGCACTGGAGGTGCCTCTAGTAATCGGGGACATCTATTTTCTCCTGCACTCTGACATTGGATTCTTGGTTCTCAGATCTTTGGACTCAGACCAAGACTTAAAACATTGGTTTCCCTGATTCTTAGGCCTTCCAGATTGGACTGGAACTGGACCAGCAGGCTACCTGGGCCTCTCTAGCTTGCACATGGCAGTTCGTGAGACTTCTTGCCCTCCATAATCTTATGAGCTAAGCCCTCATTATTAATAACCCCCCTGTCCTATCTACTTATCCATCTCTCTCTCTCTCTCTCTCTTTCACTCTCGCTCTCCATCCACCTAATTTATTGGTTCAGTTTTCCCAGTAACCAAGACTAATATATTTTGTATCATTTACTTCAAATTTCACTGATTTCAGGAAAGGAACCAGATCCAGGAGCATCTGGCAAATGTCACTGATACTCCCCGATTTGAAAACTAATGTTCTCCAAACCCTTGATGTAACAAATGACTGCAGCCATATATTTTGCCTCATTCACACTGACAGAATTTGACCAGTATAAAGAGGATTTAACAGCATAGGTATTGGTGTTTTCAAATGAATGTTTTGGAGGCTCAAACAGATGATACCTACTGAAATTTCTCTCCACCAAAAAGTCCCAAGTTTTTATTTGCCAAAGAAATAAGTTTTATTAAATAATAAATATTTCTAATCTTAATTAAACATGTTCCTAATAAAAGCTTAAGAGGAATGTGAGATAGTGACATCACCTAATTGAAATGCTATAGTTCCATCCAAATGCAACGAAACATAGAATTTTATTTTGTATTTTCACATTTTCCTTAGGCTTTTATAAATAGTGAAAATTATTTGCACATTCCATTTCTTCACCATTTAGAAACCCAGGAATCTGAATGGTGGACTAGGCTTCCTACAGGTCAAAGAGATTTAACGACTGTGGCTCATCTGGGATGTATTAGTTTGTTCAAGCTGCCTTGACAAAATTTCACAAACTGGGTAGTTGAAACAAATATTTTCTCTCACAGATAAGGAAGAGAGACATGCAAGATCAAGGTGTTTGGTTTCTGTTGGGTCTGTCTTCATGGTTTCTGTGTCCTCACAGGACATGTCTTCTGAGAGGGTGAATCACTGGTGACTCAAGAATGCAGATGCACCCAGGTGCAATTACTGGTGCTGTCATTTTCTGGTGATGTCAGCTTGGGGGTGGGTTCTCACTCATCAGAGATGTTGAGAACTGCTGAGGCAAGGCTGACAGTATATACCACTCCCTTGGGTAGATGCCCATATATGGTCTAGGATAGGTGCATGCACATCACTGTCAAAAAATATTTTCTTTTGCTATCTGAAAGTGTTACCAAAGAGTGCTCCAACTTTTACCCTGTCTCTGTTGCACCCCCTCCAATATGCCCCTTGTGGTAGGGTAAAGAAAGACATCCTAAAAATGTCTATGTCCCAGTGCTCGAATGTGAATGTTACCTGATAGAGCAACATCAACTTCTAAGTTAAGGATCTTGAGTTGGGGGAAATGATCCTAGATTATTTAGGTTGACTCAAAGTAATCACATGGGTACTTATAAAAAGTAGGCAGAAGAAAGCTAAACTGTACCAGAGAAAATGATGTGATCAAAGCAAAGAGACAATGTAAGACTAAGTCCTGGCTTTGATGATAGGGGGAAGAGCCAGGGACCAAGTAGAGTAATGTCTGAAACTTAAAACTGAAAAAAAAGAAGGAAGCATATTCCCCCCTCAAAGCTGCTATAGAAACCATCGTGATGGATAACTTGACTCAGTCCTGTGAAACTACTTTTAAACTTCTGGCCTCTAGAAATTTAGGAGAATACTTTTGTGTTGTTTTAATCCCTGAAATTTGTTTACTCCACTAAACTTTTGCAATATATTGGAGCAGTCATGGGGAACTGATACAGTCTCCCAAACTAGAGAACTTGTTCAGAATTGTGAGCCAGTAGAAAGGGACTCCGAGCAAGGTGAAAGGCATCCATGCCAGGGGGTGGCAGGTGACCCAAATTTACCTTAAACTGATGTTATCAGAGGGGGAAGGCTGGTGATGAAAACAAATGGGGGTGAGATCAGTATACTTTGATGGAAGATGCTGGGTGTCTTTTTGCTGGATGTGGTGTGGTAACATACTTCTGAACATGTGTGAAACTTTACTGCTAAATCATATACAGTGTTGGAAACCAATGTTATTGCAATAAAAATAGTATATATTTTTTTAATTTAAGAAAAAGCAAAAACAAAATTAGATTTACTTTAGCACTGATAAAAATAAGTACAAAAAAAGAAGCAGAGCGTCTTTAAAGCAGGAAATACTGATTTTGACAGATAACCAAAAATATAAAACCCCATACTTGGCCTAAAAGCATCCATAAATTCTCAAAGCTTTCAGACTCAAATTTTAGAGGAAACAGCGATAATATCAGTAAAATAGCTTAGCACAACCTTGTATCAGAATTTACTATCAGGGGCCTCCTTGGTGGCATGAGGGATTAAGTCAGCACTAAGAAGCTACCTACAGCCACTGCAGACGAGTTCGATCCCTGCCTTGGAGGGCACATGGAACAGAAGACCTTTCCGGTCTCACCCGCTGCTACCCTCAGCAGTGTATTTCAGTCAAACTGACTGTTCTGCTCCTAACTCTGTCTCTAATGAATCCTGTACCTGCGGCTTGTACCCCAGTTCTTATATGAATAAATAATCTTTAAAAAAAATACTCTCATATTAACATTTAATAATTTACCAGATAAAGATAAAATTTTAGTTACTTGTTTAAGTAGTTAAATCTAGCCCTCTAAGCCCTTAAGAAACACACCATGAATAACTGGAAGATATAAATTAAAAAAAAAGTCAACAGTTTACCAAAACTTTGTCTATGTTTTAATACTTACATATTAAGATGTTGCCTGCTCCATGATGTACTCTGGTTTTCAAAGATCTTGTTCTCTTGTCCTCTAAACAGGAGCTGTAAGGGAAGCCCAATATGGCTTATCCTGTCATTTCCAGTGAATGGCTCTGTTACCCTACCCCAACCTACATGTAATCCTGCTTTCGACTTTATATCAACAATACGTATATAACCTCGATATTGGATGATTTCAGTCCTTTGTGATAAGAATTCAAATGGAAGTAACTGATTTTATTTCTATCCACCATTTCATCCAGGATAAAGGCCAAAGCAAAAAAGACCCACTTCAATGAAAGTGACTTTTACTCACAGTTGATGTCACCTAAAGTCAGTAATTTAAAGATTAGGCCTGATTAAGAATTAGGTCATTCAACCTCTTTAAATTGATAAGTCAATTCCTATTCTTGAAGCACATTTAATAAGCTTACATTTTTGTTTCTTCTTTTTCTAACAGTGTAAGAAAACAGGACACAGGAAATCTCTACAAAGAGGAAATTTTTACTTTCACTATATCAGACTGGTTTTAATCATAATCTTAAACTCCATGTATTCCCTTCTTATAGCTTCTTTTCACTACTTCTTGTTTAGGTACTTGTCTTATTACAGAAATGTTGAATAAATTACTTTTATTTTTGTTCCTCCCCAATTAATTTGTAATTTAATAATTTTATATTCCAAATACTTCTCTACTGCTTTCTCATCACCAAATGGATTGTGTCTCCAAAAGTGTGTATATTATACAAACTAAATTCAGAGATCTTGTTGCGGTGCAATTGTTTTTAATCTAAAGAAGGTGGCCATATGTAGTACAAAAGATTATACTTGCTGATAGGAACAAAAACTGGAAGGATATTCAAGTTGACACCTTGTAGAGTATGCAGTTAGTGGAAGAATTGGTACTGGAAACCAAGATTGTTGGTTCTCAATATCTACATCCATTAGAATCAAGCCAGGTTTAATTGTTTTTTTAAAGGATATTTACAAACATGCCTCAAAAATCTAATGAAGAGATTTGGAGTTTATTTGGAATGGTAAAGGCAGAAGTATCTAAACTTTCAGACAGAAGACAGTGTTGAAATTATCATCACATCTTGAGTGTGTGGAGGTGGGAGGGGAGTGATATTTAGGAACTGGTAGTGGAGAGGCAGAGTTTGGAGTTTTTAATATTTATTTTATACATTTATTTCCTGTATTTTAACACACTAACTCTGTAACTGCAATAAAAATCATGTCCTGATGCCCTTGTGAGCCATTATGTCATATTTTTACAAGATCTACAAACTAAAATGAGTCATTTGCATCCATATTCAGTAAATTTGAAGTACTGGAAAGGAGGTAGGAAGATAAGG